TTTTCCGACCAAGCGGGGAGGACGAGAAAAAGGAGGGCCTTTGGATGCCGCCTCGGGCACAGTGGTGCCAGCCTTCTGCGTGGTGACGACGGCCTTCGAGGCCTGGTGGGCAAACCGCCGCCATGGCCAGACCCTTTAATCGCTCCGCCTCATGCTCTTGATGATCCTCGAACTGATCCTCTGGCTGCTCGCCCTGGAACTCTTCGTCCTCCGTGAGAGTCCTCTCTCCATCGTCTCCTCCTTCATCCCCCCCCTTATCATGGCCTCCCTCCTCCTTCGTTCTGCTGATTGCTCCTCCTCTCTACCCTCCCCGTCTTCCCTTCTCCCCGCCGTGTCCACATTCCGCCGTTATCTCAATCAATCCATGCCATCCCCAGGAATCCATACGTATATTCTGCACATGCATCTAGCACTCCGCCACTGTGCAGACTGGCACATTGAGGCGTTGTCGCATGCCAAGGGCTGGCGGACAAGGCTGATGTATGATGATACGGGACACCCCGCCCCCCCCAGCCAGAACCCACGATGATGTGTAACAGAATCGTGTACCCGCACCGCCGAGGCTACAAACGCTCATAAACAAAACTATGGATCCGCGCTTCTAAGCTTCCAAGACGGCCGGAGCAGGCGACGAGGCCGCCACGACGGCCCAAGATACCTCCAAGACGGTCCAAGATGGCCCAGAAGCGGCCCAAGATGACCTCAAGGCGGCCCAAGATGCCTCTAAGAGGGATCAAGAAGGCCACAAGATGACCTCCAACTGGGTCCGAAGACGCTAAGAACACTGATTGCCCTGAGGCTGATCTGACATATCATTTCGACGGCCCAAGACAGCGTCAAGTCGGGCCTGTGACGCTTCCAAGACACCCTCCATACTGCCAACAGGGCTTAAAGACGACCCAAAAGAGACAGAACGCCTCAGCGGGCCCAAGACCGCAAAAAAGGGCCCCAAGTGGCCCCCAATGCTGGCCCACAGGACACCAAGACCCAGGAAAGCCCCAAGACGGCTCAAATGAGCTCTGTGAGAACTCAAGAAGTGAAAACGGCAGGTGCCAGATGTGACGGCCTTTCTCATCCTCCGACTCCTCGTCGTCGTCGTCACCGTCGCCCCCGCCACCGCTGCTGCCGTCGTCGTCGTCGTCGTCGTCGTCATTACCATCCTCATCCTCATCGTCATCCTCAGTGCCCTCATCACCCTCATCCCAACCCTCCCTAGCCCGGGGGCGCGAGGTGTCAGTGACGGCCTCCCGTGCCCCTCCGAACAGTCGCAGCCCAGAATGCTGGGCCGACACGGCAGCGGGGTGTGCCGCAGACAGCTGGATCTGTGTATACGTGTACATACATCTGGTGGGTCTACGTATATACATGACCCTGCCCTCCTACCCGTCCGATATTAATCGACCCCTGCTCAGCAGTCCTCGTCACTATTGTTACTAGTATGTGTTATTTCCTCCTGGTCCTCTCATATACTCCTCCGCTGTTCTTCCCCCCCGTCATCCATCATCTTCTTGGTTCCTCTCCATCCCACTCTTCTCCTTCTTCAACTGCCACGTCCGGTTCGTCCTCTCCCTTCGCTCTTCATCCTGCCTTCTCCTCCCTCCTCCCCTCTCCTGCCTTGCCCATCCTCCCTCCCCTTCAGCGTCCCTGCTTCTCCTGCTCCTGCCTGGTTATCTGTCACCCCATCCACCGCTACTCCTCCACACCAAGTTCCTCGTCCCCTGCCTCCACTTCGCTCTGTTCCCTCCTCCCTCCTCCCTCCTTGTCCCGTTGCCCCTGCTCCCTGCTCCGCACGCCTTCTTGGAAGAACTCTTCCCGAGCTCCGCGGCCAGGGCCGCCAGCGACGTCTTCTTGCCTGCGGCAAAAGCCGCGGGGTGCACTCTTGAGGACTGGAGGGAGCTGGTGCGGCACGGCCTAAGCGCGCAGGGGCCCCTGCTGTCAGCTCTGCCCGGTGTGCGCCCCGCGCGCACCGGTCGTCGCGGGCCCGTTGCATTCGGAGAGGGGTGGCCCCCACACTCCGCCGCAACGTCGAGCAAGGACAATTTCGTTTGATCGATCTGATCCAAGATGGAAATGGCCCCAAGAGAGCCCCCAAGGCCCCCAATAGGGTCAGGTCGGGCACGTCTCCCTACAGGCGGATGTTGGTCGAAAAACAAAAAATACCCCCAAATGCTCAAAAATGGGCCACACATATATTTTTTAAAAGATCGTACCCAGACTATTTCTGGACTATTTTTGGATCTTCCTCCTGTGGAGGGACAGGCCCGACTTCACAACAGGGTCCCAAAAAACAGCATCAGGAGAGCCCTGAAGGCTCCCCAAGAGATGGACCCAAGCCCCAAGAGATGAACCCAAGAGATGGACCCAGGCCGCCCCTCCAAGAACTCCCTGGCGCGATCAGCGAAGGCCTTCATGGTTGGACTGCCAGATGCATTCTGCTGCACTCCCCTGATCTCAGTGGGCCCTGGAAGGGACAGGTCCGTTTCTGCTACGGGTTCCGTCTTGCCGTTTTTGCTGCCAGTTCCGACGCCGTATTTTTATCGGTTCCGTCGCTGTTGGTTTACCGGTTCCAGCTCCGGTTCCAATTCTGGAGCCGTTTTTCTGCCGTTTCGGGTTGCCGTTGTTTGTTACCGTTTCCATGTTCAAAAAAACACTTTTTCAGAAACGGTGAAAAAAACGGCCCTGCCCTTTCCGGGGCCCACTAAGCCCCTGATCTGGGCAGCTTGCCTGGGGATCATTTCTGGACGCGCTGGTGGCTGGTGGAGATACGCGGAGCGCCAAATGCTCCTGTAAATATGAAGTGATCCTCGCCATCTCGAGCCATCTGGAAGTGTCTAAACATGGACTGGCCCGTTTCGCAAATCATTCTTACAAAGTTCCAGTCGCCTCCGCAAACCACAGCGGACCTGCCTGCAACTCAGATCGACACGGAGAATTGACAAGAACGAAGAGGATGACATAAGCGAGAGCAGGAGGGCGATGACACGGACGGGGAGGGCACGGACGACGATGACAGGGAGAACGGCAACGCCGACGACGACGTCGACGAGCAGGATGCGCCGACACCGCTTGCCGGAGGCAGTAAGCACGACGTGTGTGTGTGTGCTGAATTGCCGTCCCCCACCATTGGGGGGTGGCCTGGCTCTGGACCTCTGCCTCGTGCCACCCCTTGCAACAGTGCGCCCGCGTGAAACAGGCGCCCAGAACAGGCAAGGTCTGTTCCATGGGGGGGAGGGAGTGCGAGGGCCCGCGCCGATCGGCGACACAATGAAAAGGAAAACGAGCTCCTCTCCCAAGCCCTCCGAGCCTCGAGCTCCAGCCCCCTTGCGAAGTCAAGGGGCCCAAGATGCTCTCCGGGAGGGCTCCCCAAAGAACCGCGGAATGGCCAGGGAGCGCCACCTCGGTTGCCAGGGAGCCTCGCAAGGATGCCTCCGAGAGGCGAACAAAATGGAACCAGCACTCTTTACAAGCGCGAGGGAAGCCCTGTGGCACTGAGGGGGGGGGCGAAGAGGGGAGGGGAGGGGAAGCAACGGGATGTTCCAATGATGTTCGCCTTCTCGCATGTTCCTCCCCAACAGGATCACAGCCGCGAAGGTCTCGAAAAGTATGTGCAAAGCGTCCCAAGGGAGCCCAAAAAGCACATTTTCAGGGTCCAAACGGGAGACCCTACCTTGAGACCCCTTCCTGGGACCGATGGCCTCCAGGATGTCTCAGACAGGATTCGCATGGCCCCAGGAGGGTCCCAAAGGCACCGAACGGCGCCAAGAGACATTCAGGATGACTCCAAAAGTCCCCCAGGTGAGCGTTTTTGTTTTCGGCGTTTCGAGATTGGGCGGACAGGGGGGGGGAGCGGGGGGTCTGGCTCACCCGCTCGAAACAGGCGCCCAAAAAACAGCCAAGATCTAATGGGAGGAAACGATTTTATATATATATACATATATATATACTTTTTGGGGCGGACGATTAAAGAAATTGTTTCGCGGGCCTCCTCGCCCACGCAATAGCGGGGGGGCAGGGCAAGCAGACGGGGGGCTGACAATTCCGGGTTGCCTGGAAGGCCAGCGGGGGGGGCACGGGGTGGCGATCCAGGGCGCGGGGGCCAGGGGGGTGGACGGGGTGATTTTTCAGGGCGAGCTCGTCCTCCTCCTCCTCCTCCTCCTCCTCCGCCTCCTCGTCCTCCTCCTCCTCCTCCTCTTCCTCCTCCTCTTCTTCCTCTTCCTCCTCCTCCTCCTCCTCCTCCTCCTCGTCCTCCTCCTCCTTTTCCTCCTCCTCCTCGTCCTTTTCCTCCTCGTCCTCCTACTCCTTCTCCTTTTTCTCCGCTTCCTCCTCCTTGCTCTCCTCTTGTTCGCCCTCCTCCTCCCCCCCCCCCCGTCCGCAAGGACGAGGGCGGCCCTCTCGCTGCCTCGCCTCCCTTTCCTCTCGCTGTCTTCCCTTTCCCTTTTCTCGTGACTACGCTTTGCGGTGCCAAGGGGGGCACAAAGCGGGGGCCCGCGCCGATCGGCAAAACAACGAATCCGCCGACCCTGTCGGCGTGTAGAAGAGGCTTCTCCGTCTGCCTCCTCTTCGTCGTCGTCCTCGTCCTGTCCCTTTTCACATAGCGTCTTCTCCTTTTCCGGGGCCTCCTCCTCAAGCGTTTCGGTCCAAACCGAAATTGAGCAACGTCGTCATTGAGTCGAAGTGGAGCCCCTTCCCTTTGATCCCTTCCCCGGCGCGGGGGGGGGGTCCCGGGGAAGGACCCGGGGGAGCACCCGGGGAGGTCCCGGGTCAGATACGCGCCCCCCCCCCCCCCGAAGATAACCTCCAAGATCGCTCATGTAGCCCAGCCCTCGATGGCTCCAGATCGCTCCCAAGAAGCCTACTAGAGGCTCGAAGATCGCGCCAAGCCGTCTCCAAGTAGCCACACGGAAGCTTCCAAGAACGCTTCCGAGATAGCTCCAGGTAGCCCCAGAGCCTCCCAAGGACGTTCCCGAGAGGCCCAAATCATTGATTTCCTATCGGAAAACGTGCACTTTTGGCATATACGACTTTTCGGCCTTCACGGCGTTGAAGACAATCCAAGAGGCCCCCCAGAAGGCCCCAACACGGCTCAAGAGGCTCCCAAGAGGCGCCCAAAACGGCCCAAGAAGGCGCCAAGACGGCCCCAGAGGCTACCAAGACGGCCCAAGAGGGCCCCAAGAGAGGCCCAAGACGGCGAGCCCGAACCAAAAATCCGAGCCTTCCGCCCCAAGAAGCTCCCTAGAGGCCCCAAGAGGCCCCCAAGAGGCCCCAGGAGACCTCGAAGAGGCCCCCAAGAGGCCCAACAGATGCCCCAAGAGACGCCAAAACGGCCCCCTCCTCCAACTCCTCCTCCTCCTCCTCCTCCTCCTCCTCCTCCTCCTCCCCTCCCTTGCTCCCCCTCCTCTGGTTCCTCGTTTTCCTCCTCCTCCGCTTAGGAACAGCTCGGTGCTGAGCCTGAGTTAGACAATCATGCCTGGTGATGCATCCAGGAATCTCTACGGTCTTCGGCTTCATCCTCTTTCCTCTTCCTTCTCCCTAGTCCTCCCCCTCCTACCCTGTATTCCACACCTTCCTCCGATTCGTTTCTCCGCATCCTCCTCCCTTATCCTCCTCCTCATTCTGGTTGTTTCCCCTCACTGACAGATCGCTGTCTTCAGGGTCGGCGGCACCGGCCGTAAGGCCTTCGCTGTACATTGGCCGAACTAGGAGCTGGCATCGGCTTGTGAAGCATTCGTTGAGACAGCATGGGCTGGCTATCGAGAGGGCAAATACTTGAGCCAAAATGACAACGAACCCTCTCAGGCCCTTCTTGGACCTTTTTGGGTCCTTATCGGCGCCCTATTCTGTCCTTGTTTGCACCTTTGGGCAGCTTCCAGGCCGAATCGAGCTGATATGGGGCAGTGTTCTGGCAATTTCTGGCTTCCTGTTGTGAATCGAAATGAAGGGTCCAGGTAGGCAGTGTTGATTCGATGGTGATGATGACGGGCGTAGATCAGCCACACGGAGAACCTCACCACCCCTTGCGGTCGGATACATGAGCAATAGAGCGCAGGCGGGAGGGTTGTCCCCCATTTTTGGAAAATGTCAATCCCGTCTCGGAGCCGTCTTCGCCTGCCTGTCCTAGCGAGGATTGGAATGGGCGGGCGGTGAACGCGAAGCGTCCCGAATAAGGATGACGAGTATCAAGAGGATGGCGAGGATGAGGACGATGTTTGCCCCCCCCACCCCCCCCACCCCGCCCCCTTCCCCGCGGGGCCTGTGGCGGGGGGCGCTGGTGCTGGCCTCCTGGCAGGGAGCGTCGGCCGAGCGCCGCTGACCTGCGGCGGGACGACTGGCGAGTTGGTGGGGCAACGGCACGGAGACCGCATGGCGGCTGCCACGACTGCCACCCGTTGCGCCCTCCATCCCGCGCGCCTCCCATCCCCGCGCAAGACCCGAAGCCTTCACGGACTCCACCGGCTTCCACTGCATGACCGCACAGGGCGGAACGGGGGAGCAGTAGGCCTGGCGTGTCCCCCTACAGGCGGATTCTGGACGAAGAACAAAAACAGATTCAACATATATCCAATCGTGATCCGCAATAGTGTAAAAAACAATCGTCCCCTGACTATTCTTCAAAAGTTTCGAACATTCCTCCTGTAGAGGGACAGGCCCGACATAAAGGGAGCACGAAGAAAAGAAGGAACTGGAGGACCAGCAGTTAAACATGATCGCTCGGTTCGAGGTACTGGCGGGGAGCGCTGGCCGAACGAGCGTGACGGATGCCGTCGGTGGAGAAGAGCAGGCGGAGGGGCGCGAGGAGGGTACCTGCCAGGTTGGGGGACGCACGAGACGAGGCGGATGGTCTGGAGGAGGAGGGGCAGGGAGAGGAGGGAGAAAGACCTTCGAATCCACGCCACAGCAGCATACACTGTGCGATCGCAACCGCAACACCAACATACAGTGCACGACCGGAGAAAAAATGATAACAAAAAGGGGGACATAGAAATAGAGAGGAAGAGAGAGAGAGAGAGAGAAAAACAAAAAAAAAACAGCGAGAAAGTGAGAGAGAGAGAGAGAGAGCGAACAACAGGTCAGACAAGTAAAATGTGTCCCTCCTGGCGGGTTGTAAATGCCGCCCGGGCCAGCCTCTGAGTGGCGGGAGGCACCAAAACACGAACAGGGGTGGGGAAGAAAAGCCCTGCCCCCTCTCGCGGACCGAAGGGTCCCCGACTGCAGAAACAGGACCAGTGGTGATGAGGGCGTGGCACGCCCCGCCTGCACGCACGAGCAGCAGGCGACGGCCTCCACCGCGCTTTGGCCTGCGCGCGTCGGCACCGAAGTGAAACGTGGCGCCACCTTGGGGCATCCCCCGCCACGGACCAGATCAGAGGCCGCGGAACAGATGCCAGCTGTTCTCGCCGCGCGCCCGAGAGAAGAATGGCTAGCACTGGCATGCTACCGGTGGGAAGAAGGGCGCGCCCAGAAGCATCCCAAGATAATGACCACGATAAAACCAGTCGGACGGAAGGCCTGCTGCAGGGCATCCCAAACGATCTGAGCTCCTTGGAACCTGCCGAGCAGGGGACTTGACTGCTCCTGGATGGCACGCCGCTGTTGGTCCGTGATGCTGGCGGTGAAAATCGCTTCACGCTTCCGATCTGGATGTTGCCTGACAGCCAGTGGGTGCTGCGCGAAGGCGCGCCAGTGACAATTTCCCTACAATGGTGTCACACGAGTGCCTGCACCCTCGTACCCTGGTGGGAAGTGGGGGCGACCTGGCGGCTATGCGCGATGGCCACGGAAGCGGGGTCCTGGCGGAGTATCGCCCCTTGAGGCACCGCCCCCGCGTGTCTTTGCTGACACCGATATGTGCTGTCGTCTTCGGCAGCGTGGCCGTCGTTATCGTGACCTCCCCATGAAGTAGCAATGGTTCCCTCATGGTTGTCCAAGGCTGCCCCTCACCCAAATGTGTCCTCATATTTTCTATTGATATCGTCGGCTGGTCTCCCCATTGGTCGTCGAGGTCGTCGGAGAAGTCCGGCCCTGGTGGGCCTTGCGATTGCGAAGGGTCGCCTGGTGAGCCCAACGGCCCGTCACTTCCTTGCATTTCGGTGAGCGGGTCGGGCATCGGCTTGCTGAGATCTGCCCAGAGTAACCCGCGCGTCTGTCTGGCAGGTCAAGGAGCGGCGGCGACAGTCACAGACGGCGACGGCGAAGACGAGGAGCATAGCCGTGAATGTGTGTCAGAACTTGGCTCCGTCGATGAAGTCTATCTGCCGGGCATGTAGACGTGCCCCGGCAGCGGCGAATCCATCTGCGCGGCGGCTAAGCGCTTTTGCGATCGGCGCGATTCGACCGTCATGTCTGCCGTGTTCACTGGGATGACTTTCGACTATCTGGGCCTTGAACACGTCAGGGTTGGCCTGCAGCGCCCGGTGGTCCTCGTGCCAGAGATAAGTATAAGCTCCAATCACTTGACGTGCACTTCCTGCGTGGAGGGCCTCGACTCCGTCGGCGAAGGCATACTGGTGAACGGAATGCGCGGACAGGCCGCTCATAAATTGCCGCCAGGCGGAGCAGGGCGAGGGCGTCAGCGCGCTGGGCGGACCGAGCCAAGCCGCGCGCCCGAGCGGAGATGCAAAGCCGGCGATCAGGCCCTTCGTAGATTCCGAAACCTGGCCTGGCAACGAGCGGGCGGGCCTGGCGCGCGCAGGCCCCGCCGGCGGCCGCGTGGGCCCACCTGGCCCCCGCGACTTCGTCGTCGGTGGATTCTTCGCGCCGATCCACTTCGAATCCCTCGGGCGGGGGCTCGCCATGGGCTGGCTGCGTCTGCCCGGGCGTTCAACAGCAGCGGGTCATCTTCAAGCTGCCCGCAGTGCCTTGCGCAGGGCGGGGCGTCTCACCACCGCTGATCAGCGGGCCTGGTTCTCGAGGCGGTCCGCTCTAAGCCGCGCGCCCAAATCGCGCGTTCCTGGGTTTGCTCTTCTCGGGTGCACGATCTGCGCGGCGGCGATGGGTCGGCAGAGATGCCCGCGCGGGCCCCCTTCTGCTGGGCGCGGCCGCTGCCGCGAAGGTCTTTGCAGAGAAGGCCGAGCTGCCCGGCCGTGCATTTAGCTTTGCCAGCGGCTATTTGCAACTTGCTGTCGGTGCAATAGTCGAGGCCTTGTTCGGCCGCGGCGACCGCGCCCAGGTCGCGTCTGATGGTCGGGGTTCGCCGGCGGAAGAATATTCATCGCGACGCTCGGAGCACGCGAATGAAAGAGGCAACGGGGAGGCGCAATCATAGATGGCGGATCACCCAGTCGCCATGCACTACGGTAAGCCAATTCTAGTCCAGTTGAGCAATGGTTCGCAAGACTCTGTCCACAGGGCCACCTCCTTGGGAGGTCTGCCCGTGTTCGCGCAGCTCTTCGATGTAGCCGCGAGGCTGGCGTCTCTCTGCACCTGCCTCCGCGGTCCAGATGGGCCCCACTTCGCGCCGTGGCACCCAGCTCAAGGGCACGCACGGGGGCGATGACAGCGTAGAGGGCCCGCCGCTAGATCCAGGATCGCCCAATTTGGCACATGACAAGTTTTGCGCGCTCACGCCGGAGGATTGAACGTCGGCCCCTGCGGCGCACATGCTGGCGGCGAGGGCCCTGCCCGAGCGGGCGCGCGCATGGGCACCTCCGGGGGGGGTGTCCAATGCGCGGGAATCTGGCAGCATCCCGCCGAGCGGTTACATCTGCGGCGCCCGCCAGATTCAGGCCGGCATTGCCCGATGCCGGCGCCGCGATGAAGCGGCCCCCCAAAAGTTTCCCCTGGCGATAAGTTTGCAGCGGGTGGCCGCTGAGTTGGGGAGCTGCCCCCCGGCGGTGGGGCACTTCGCCGACGGCCAAGCCAACGACTATGCCAGGGTGACTCGATTCTGGCCTGAGAGGCGGTCGGGGGGCAGTCTCGTCGAGCGAAGCCTGGGGCGCCCTGGCAGCAGGCGCGGGAGTTATTGTCGATCGCGGCACGCAACATTGCTCTCCTGGCCCAAACGCACACCAGGAGTTCGATGGTGTCGAGGGAGAAGGAGCTACCTCGATGGCGGCTGCGGCGCGCTGTGGGTCCGGAATGCGCCCCCCCCCCCCCCCCATGCGAGCGCACCGACGGTGGTGATCAGAGAAGGATCTTCTGACTTGAACGATGTCCGACGGGTGCGCCGCGCGCAGCGGCAAATCGAGATACGTGCCTCTGCGAAGGTAGTTGAAACGCTTTTGCCTGTCGAGTGCAGCTCCACCAATGGCCGCCTGGAGGTGCCCGGCACGTTATGCCTGCAGTGCCGGCTCGATGCCGATGTCCCTGCCCGTGGCGCGCGGCGCCGCGCCGAAGCTCGTCGGGCGGGCCCAGCGGGCTTTCCGTGGCGCCGAGCTGCGGCGAGCCGGCGCTTCCCCCGCGCACATCCATATAGACGCGACTGAGAGCAAGCGTTGGTCAGAGAGCCATTCCCATTCCTGCCCCGAAGGCAGGAGGGGCGCATGTCCCCCGAGTCTTGAATGGCTCTCCAGGCTTTAGTCAAGAGACGGAAGGCTCCGTCAGGCATCGCCACGGTGTCGTTGGCAACCCCTCCGTCTAGGCCGCCGGCTCAAGAGCAGGTCGGGCGTGGGTGAAATCGGCAAGCGCTGCGTCGGTCTGGGCGAATGGTGAGGCGGGGGGGCGCGGGGTCAGGAAGATCCTGGCGGCGCTCCGCCTTGCGCGCCTCCCATGTGTGACTAGCCTTCCGAGATCGGGCCCCTGACTGCCGAAGCCACCAAGCCGTCGGTTCAAGTGCCCGGCGGCGCGCAAGGGGCCCGCTGCGCGGAGTGCGCAGGTCGGCCGCAATGGAATTGGCAACCGCTTTGGCCCGCCAGCGATCCGCCCCGCCATCGTCAGTGACCCTCGCCCAGGTTCGGCCGTGATGCGTTTGAAGTCGCCCCGTTGGCTGCAGCAGATGCGCTGCGCCTCTGCGAAAGCAATGAGGTCGCCCAGGTGCAGGTCGGCGGAGGGCGCGCCTGTCAAATGCGGGGAAACTTTGCGCGGCGCGCGGGCCGCTGCTTCTGGGCAGGGGCGGCGGCCGCCACCCGTGCGCAATTCATGCGTTCCCAGCATCGAGAATGGCCGGTGCCATTTGTCCTCTAATCGACATGGCACTGCCCCAAGCGGTGCCGCGCAGCTCCGCGTTGGCGCCGCAGCTTGTCAGCGTCGTCGGCGCGGTCTGCAACGCCGCGCCCGGGGCGGGCGAGAGGGGCGGCGCGCGCTCCGGGGACGCGCGGCGGCATGCCGTGCACGGCAAATAATTTGCGCGATCCGTCTTCGCGGTGAGGCGCGGGAAGTGCGGACGGCGCGTCCGCCTGGTTGGCGAGGTCAAGAAATTTACACGCGTCGCTGGCGCGCCCGCCTCGTCCGCCCGCGCACGGTAGGCGCGATCGGCGCGGTGTCCAAGCGCTTGTTTCTCGTCCCAGTCGCAAGCGGGCATTGCGCAACACCCCTGGTTCTCCTCGCTGGGCGTCTAGCCAGATTTCTCCGCGGGGCGCAGTGGGTAGCCGCATGCTGAAGGCGACTGAAGAATTCATAGCGCTGACGTTGCGCCCTCCTCGATCCCCTGCAGTCGCGGCTCGCGATTGCCCCCGTTGCGAGGCGCGGGGCCACTGGGCGCGCCGCGAAAAAGGATCGGGATCTTGGGAGGGGTCGTCGCTTACCTGGCGGTGCGCAGCGGGGGTGCGCCCTGGACCGATGTCCTCCTGCTCGGATGACGCAGCGGCGTGGGCCCACGCGGTCGGAGAGCCAGGATGGCGCGGTCGGCTAGCACGGCGGCGCGTAACGCGTCGATGATGGTCGCCATGGCGCGTCGCTCGGCAGGGCTACCGCGGTGCGCCTGAGAAGCGTCGCCTTGGCAGGCATTCAGGCCGTCGCCGCTGGAGGCGCGGCGTTGGCGGGCATTCCATGCCGCAGAGCCCGCGATGTGATGGGGCAGGGCGTGGTTCGGCTGAGCGAAATGCCCTGATGGGTCGTCACCGCTGCCTGCTGCGCCAGCAATCCAGCGGCGCCCTGGCCGGCTTTCACTGTTCGCGTTAATCTTTGAAGCCCGTAGTAGCCTTGGACGACGCAGGAGACGCTGCCTCACCGGAAAAACGGCCGCAGAAACGGCGATCTGATTTTTGTCGATTTGGCCTGACCTGGACACAACGCGATATCGCAATTTGTCGTTCGCCACATCGCTAAAATTCCAATACTGAATTGCGCGCATGGGTCCGCAATGCACACCCTACCAGACCTCGCCATGATGCGCCGCGATACGCTGCCTCATCCGCCCAGACATGGTCGACGCCATCAGCGTCCGATTTTGCGTCCGATTTTGCATCCGATTTGCGTCCGATTTTGCGTCCGATTTGCGCCCGATTTTTGTCTGATTGTACATCCGATTTGCGTCTGGTTTATTTCAATATTGACTCGGCACACAGCCAATCGAACGCGAAATCGGTCGCAAAATCGGTCGCTTCTGGGCGCACTTCCGGGCGCTCTTTCGGGCGCCCTTCCAGATTCGCGTCTGGGCCATATTCTGGGCACTCTTGATGGCGCTTTCCTGGGCGCTGTTCTCGGCGCTCTTCTGGGCTCGCCTGGGCGCTCGCCCCAGCGCGCTTCCAGGCGCTCTTCCGGGCGTTGTTCCGGTCGCCCCCAGCGCGCCTTCTGGGCGCCACGCGCGCGCTTAATTTGCAATGTGAAAGCCAAAAAACCAACAAATCAGAAGCACATCTGCTCTGCCACCGCGGCGAGGTCACGCTGCTCGGCGACGCCCGTCGCCGTCGGCAGCGGCCTGGGCCGCGCTGCCAGCCGCGGTCGCTCCGAAGACGCGCGCGGCAATGACGGCGCGAGGCGCCGGGGCTGGCGCCCCAGCCCCGGGTCGCCTAACGGAGGCCGCCAAGTAAGGGCCGGGCGCGGGCAGAGGCTCAGGCGGGCCCCAGGCGCGCGACGGCGGCAGCTCGGAGAGCGCGGCCGCTGGCGGGCACTGGGCGGGAAAGGCGTCTCTGAGCCGAAAGCGCGCCGCTTAGACGGCTGCTCTTCGATGGGGTCTTCTTCGCAGCCGGGCGGCGCTAGATCCCTCTTGGGGGGCTGAGGCGGGGCGCCAGTGCTCTCGCACTCGGCGGCTCACTCCGCCCGCCGCGGCGCAGCCCTCGCTGTCGCGGAGACCAGGGCCGCTGCGCCGTGGATCTATGGTTCGCCCGATGGCGGTGCAACAGCCCGGCTGGCTGCGCTGGGCGAGTGCTGTCCAATGCATTTTGCGCTGGAGGCGGCGCCCCTATGTGGCGGCGCGCCTCTTTGCTGGTTCAGCGGCGGTGCGGGCGTCGCAAGCAGGCGCGGCGCGGCGGCCGCCCTGTCGCGGAGCGTCGGCGCGGCGTTCGCGGCCCAGCCGCCCCTGGGGGGTCCCAGCGAGGGCGCCACTGAAGCGACGGTTTCTGGTGGGGCGATCTTCTCTGTCGGCTAGTCCAGAAGGCCCATCTTGGAGGTGGTCTCCACCTGGGCATGGCATAGTGGATCCTTGCGCGCGACCGGTGGCAATGGGCGGGAATGGGGTCGATTTGACGATGGCACTGTCCTCCCAGGTAGCTTTGTCCCATCCTGCGCGCCGGGCTGCAAGACATGCGGCATTTGCAAGCGCCGCGTAAATTTCCTTGAGCTCGACGGCGACTTGCTTGGCTTCGTTCGCGTTGTGTTTCAAGCGGGTGCTTACTCGCTTGTCGGCGCGAATGGCTCCACAGCCGTAGAACCTTCGGGAGGTCTGGTGGGCCTCTTGGAGCGTTGTCACTTGGCCGTCTTAGTACCGCACAATGATGTACTCACTGGGCGCAGGACCTATGGTGCCGTGGTTGCTGACGTCGGTCGCTCTGGGACGTCGGCCGGTTTGGTGTTATAGAAAAGCGGCGAACCTGCGCTTGCCCGCTGCCGTGCCATGACGCCCCAGAAGCCCCATGGGCCCCTGTAGTTGTTCGGAGCGGAAGCGGGAGGCAAAGATGGCAGTGAAAGCGTCGGTTGCGTACAAGGTCAAGTTTCGCCAATTTGTGGCGTTCCTGGGCTTTCTGCTGCGCCGTGCGTGCACCCCCTGGCTGGTGCGCGCCGTTGGTGGAAGCTGCTCCTGAGAACTGGGAGGTGCATAATTCCTGCAATGCTGGTGCGACGGTAGCGACATCGATTTCGCCAATGTCTCCAAGGATCCTGATCACCTTGCCTGCTGGGTCCAGTTGGTATATGATTCGCTGTATGTATCCTGGCGCGGGCTTGGTTGCTTTAGCCGTTCCGTTGGGCGAGCGGGTTGTGTTATAGGCGGATGTGTTGCATGGTCCGGTTGCCCTCGTTCTCCTAGCGTGTGAAGGGGGATGCTGCTGGTGGCCGATGTGCCATCCTCAGCCTTGTTGGGGGCAGCGACGATGGGGACGTCCTAGTTTGATGCGTCCGAGCTGATGAGTGGGTCGGTACCGTTGCCCTGGCGAGCGTCGGCGGATGCCGTGGACCCTGGCGGGTCACGGCTGGAACCCGCTGTGTGCGTCCAGGGGTGCTGCAGCCTGCTGTACGCGATCTTGTTTTTTTCCCGCGCAGTTTCATCAATTCGCCCCTGAGTTTTTGCTGGGAGGTGCCGTCAGTAACTGATGTCGGGCTCGGTTTGGTGCTTGTGAAGAAGTTCGTTGTATGCAGCGGCTGCTCGGTCGACACCGCCACTGCTCTGGAACGCGACGACACACGACACCGTTCGGGGCAGGTTGCCATCCTGCCAAATTACAGGTTTTTCTTTCAAGGCCCTTGCCAAGTGGTTTAGGCTGTTGAAAACTGGTGCGCTCACGGCGAGGACCTGTTGGGGCCGTGGCGAACGCGCGCGTGTACTGAAGATCACTGTGCCGCCAATCTGCGGCGGCCTAGGATGGGCCGTGGCCGGTCTCGCGGGCCAAGAGAAGATGCGGGGCGCTTGGCGTGCGAGATTGAACGGGGCAAAGATCTCGAACCGAGGTTGAAGAGAGAGAGAGAGAGAGACAGGAATAGAGAGAGAGAGAGACAGGAAGGGAAAAAGGCAAAGGGAGGGAAAGAGAGAAAGAGAGAAAGAGAAAGAGAGAGATGGAGAGAGAGGGGGAGAAAGAGAGAGAGAGAGAGAGAGAAAAAGAGAAGGAGTGAGAGGAGATGGGGGAGCGCTCAGGAGGGATAGGGAGGGATATGGGAACGGTGGGAGAAAGGAAGGAAATAGAGAGAGGAAAACGGAAGGGAAGGAGAGGAGGAGGCGAAATGTGATGAGGAGCAGGAAAAGCAGGAGGATGGTTGACGAGCCGCTGGCCTGCGGCGAAGCGGGGGGGCCCTTCGGCGGTGGCCCCCGGGCGCGCTCCTGCGGCGCGGCACGAGACGCCCAACGCGCGCCGCCATGCGCCCCGTCCTCGCCCTCTTCACCGTCGTCCTGCTCCTCCTGCTCCTCCTTCTCGCCATCCCCTTCCTGCTGTTCCTGCACTGCTTTTCCTGCCCCTCATGCTGCTGTTGCTGCTGCTGCTGTTGCTGCTGCTGCTGCTCCTGCTCCTGTTCCTGCTCCTCCTCTTCCTCCTCCACCCCGAGGCCCGTTTTTTGGGGCGGGCCGGGCGTTTCGCCTGACACTCCCTCACCACTTATGATTTTGAAACCTATGGCAACAGCTTCACAAATGGAGGGCGGTTGGTTTTCAAAATACGGCCCTCGCGTTAGCGCCGCGCACATTTTATTTGATCAATTGCAAAACACGTGTTCAAAATGCGGCTCTCGTCTTAGCGCCGCACACATTCGTTAAACACATTGCAACAACTTCACGGATTGAAAACAATACGTTTTCAAACAGTGGTTCTCGCCTTAGCGCCGTGCAGATTCTATTTCAACGTACGCAAAAGCTTCACGGATTGAGAACAAACCAGTTTCAAAAGGTGGCTGTCGCCTTCGCGTCGCGCACATTCGCCTTATACATTTGCAAGAGCCTCACGGATTGAGGGCGAACTTTTCAAAAGGTGGCTCACGCCTTAGCGCCGCGCACATTCGTCTATAACTTTACAAGAGTTCCACGGGTTCCCATGATCAGCGTACCAGAAATGGGGTTGTGGAAGGATTCAGGATTGTGCGGGAGCAACGGTTTTTGTTCACTCGCGGTGCTGAAGTCCCGAGAACAGCGTTCTGGCACGATTCGGAATCGCCAAAACGCAACAGTCAGGTTAATGTGTGGCGTTGGAATCTCGAGAACAATGTTTTGGCATGCTTCAGGGTCTTCGAACGGCTGTCTTCCAACGAGGCAGTTCCATCAATGGAAATGAGCAGTTGCAGGCGCCAGTGAAGGGGGAGTTCGAAGGGAGGGTTCATCACAACATCGTTGATGATTCTTGGGTTCACACTGGTCGTCGTCCTCATCCTCCTCCCTTTCCTCCCTGTCCGCTGGCTCTTCTGGTTTCTCTTGCTGCTTCCGCTCCTCGTCCTGCTGCTCATGCTGCTGATTTGCCTCCTCCTGTTCGTCTTCCTGGTCAGGCTCCTGCTGCCGCTGCTGTTGCTCCTCGTCGTCCTCATCCGGTCTATGCCGCAGCCCGGGCACGCACCTAGCTTTGCGGTACGTGCTCACCAGGGCTAGGCGTGCGGTCGTCAGCATAGCTATCCTCAAACACCTCCACGAGTCTGCGAGCGAAACGCCCATGACCCAGATCTCGAGAGTCGCACAGCACAGTAAACCTAGGGCCCCAGTGGGGGGGGGAGAGGGAAGAGGAGACTACGCAGCCTGGACCTGACCTCCTGCAAAGACCGTCCTCGTCTTGCTCCTCCTCCTCCTCCTCCTCCTCCTCCTCCTCCGCCCTCCTCCGCCCTCCTCCTCCTCCTCCTCTTCCTCCTCC